CTACTAGACGATTTCTGACGGGCCTAGATGGGTGAAACCGATAACAATATCATGGGATTCACGATGAACCCTTATAACCGTATGCTCTCCGCTGGGGGCGCTTGTGGCGGTCAGATCCCGAATCTCTTACTGTTCCGTCCTTTCAATGCTGACATATCCCAGGAGAAGGAGCTCTGATAGCATTGAGAGGCTCACCCATTGGCTTCGGAACTGATCTTGGTATGATTCAACCCAACGTGAGATATGCACATGATTGAAAGGTCTCGTAGCTGGCTCCACCCGCATCCCGGCTTCCTACAACAACCTGTATGCCCTGAAAGCTTCCGAGCAGCGATTACCACAGAGTGGCATTGCTGCGATTGTCAGTTAATCGCTCTTCGCTCTACATCCTCAACGCGCTAAAGCTAATCGAAATCCAGCTTCCTGGACTGCCGATTGCCGCCGGTTCCATTGGCATACTCTCTTATGACCTCGACGGAATCCAGACAGTCTTCCGAGCTATACTGGAGGCAAGTCCGTGGACATCTGACATTGATATGCTGGAGATCCCGTGGCGCCAGGAGAAGTATGATCGGATTCTTGCGCGAGGTTGCAGCTCAACATCGCCGGCAGCGAATGGGCGGCTTGTCTTTGGAATTATGAACTCCGACAATAATGTGTCTCCACACCCACCAATTTGCATCGCATTACAAGTGGTGAAAACGGCCTTGATGGAGAGCGGCTACGAGGTCGGCGAGTAAACCTCATCCTGCGGATCTGACTGATGTCGTCGTAGGTAGTCGACTGGACACCACCGCCTCAGAACACGGCTGTAGAGACTCTTGTTGGTTCTAAGTCACCGTCAAGAACACTACTCATCTGGCTGATGCTGTACAGTTTAAAATATTCGGAGCGACGGGCGCACAGGAGATCCGTGCCGCAATCGATGCTAGTGGGGAACCTCCGGTGATGCAAATGCGAACATGGTATGAGCAATCCCGAGGAGAAAACATTACCACCTCGGAATTCTGGCAACTTTGTGCGGAGCTGCAGGAATATCGAAGAGCATACGCGGAATACTGGCGCTACATGGATACCCAGACCACTTCTGGACGCGGTATTGATGGCGTTATTCAGCCCGTCGCTCCATACGTGGCAGCCCATCAGAACGACTTCCAATACTACTCGTATTCCGCAATCGCCAACGTGTTGGACGTCCCAGCAGCGGCGTTTCCAGTGTCTCCGGGCTTCTCTTCGGCCCAGTTGGCGAATGCTACGGAGGCCAATCCCAGAACTCTCGGCGAAGAGGATGAACGAGTGTGCGCAAATTGTGAGTCGAATCGTCATCCAACACCAGAGTCAACTCACTGACACACGAGCTTTCAGATCGACCGGAGGATGTACAGCACATGCCGGTCGGGCTACAGGTCTTGGGCCGTCGTCTACAAGAAGAAACAGTATTGGCTATGGCGCAGGCGATCAGAGAAGCATTGCAGAGGCAAGCCTCGAACCAATAACGGTAGCACGATTGCGTACATTTGGTATCAGGGGCGGAGAGCGAGACGGGCACGCGCCGGCCGAGAGCGCCGTGGCGGGCTTGGCACCGAAACTCCGAAGTGGTCGAGTGTTGCGATAGAGATTGACTCCTTCATTCCGCGCTGCCTTGTAGATCTACAATATGCGACAGCGGCAAGCAAATTAATCGCAAGACTCTCAATCCCCCACGTGACAGTGCACGGCGATCATCGCGCCCACCGACGACACCATGTTCGTGCTTATGTCCAAGAAAGCTGCTCAACCAGCGCCACCGCCATCCGCGACAGCGGCAAACAAGCCTGCGAATGTGCGAACGCAGAACGCCTGTGACGCATGCCGAATCAGCAAATCGAAAGTCAGTCCATCTCT